GCAGTTAACAACACTGTATAATCAAAACTAGAAGACAGAGCTTGGAATGTTTCAGCCCAGTGGAATGCTAAAAGTCTGAGATGACGATGGTAACTTGCCTCCGGAATAGACAAATACATGGCGGGCGAGTGTACCACAACCTCACGTTCATCTCCATAAACCCGAGAATTCATTTTCCGTCAAATCGCACTCTGTCATCTCATGGCTGCGATTTTCAAGTTTTCGCAATGAACAGTGCGTATAAGATGTTCATATTTAGAGACGTAATAGGAATCATTTAATGAGATCATGACTCAACCATTAGTCAAACAGACATTGACTTAATCAGTCGAAAGATAAACAAGAGGGGTCATCAGCACTGGCCAGGTATATAAAGGGATCCGACCCAGAAGACACATCACACCTGAGAACACCCATCTGCTCTCTACTCCTCAACCCTACTCCAGCCCAGACACCCACCATGTCCTGCTGTGGCTCCTTCTCCTCCCAGAGCTGTGGAGGCTGCTGCCAGCCCTGCTGCTGCCGCGACCCCTGCTGCTGCCGCCCAGTGTCCTGCCAGACCACAGTGTGCCGCCCAGTGACCTGCGTGCCCCACTTCACCAGGCCCATCTGTGAGCCCTGCCGCCGCCCCATCTGCTGTGACCCCTGCAGCCTGCAGCAGGGCTGCTGCCGCCCCATCACCTGCTGCCCCACCTCCTGCACAGCTGTGGTCTGCAGACCCTGCTGCTGGGCCTCCACCTGCTGCCAGCCCATCTCTGTGCAGGCTCCCTGCTGCAGGCCCCCCTGCTGCCAGCCTGCCCCCTGCCGCACCACTTGCAGGACCTCCCCCTGCAACACCTGCTGCTGAGCAGTGAGCTGAACACCTGGGGCAAACAGCCACCCTGTGGAAAGCCATCATGCTCCTATTTCTCTCTCTAACCTCCTGCCCTGAGGCACGGATGCCCTGACACCACCAGCTCGTGAATGGAGGCCTGGAGCCTTCCATTAGGAGTCTTTGTAACAATCTTTGTCCTTCTTCCCTTCTTGGGTATAAAGTCTTTTAACATGTTTTTTTTTTAATAAATTTCTCCTCTTTGACCTCACAAATCATTACTTTGCTCTTACTTTCTTGTGCCTTTTTAAATTATTTTAATATATTCTTTGAGAAATTACTACACATTTATAAGTTATGTTGATCAGGTCTATCTCCCACACTCCTCTTCAACTCTTTCCAGACCATCCTCCCCGCCCTCGACCATTGCCCTCTAACAACTTCATGCCTCCTTTGTGTTAACCCACTGAGTCCAATCCTTACTGCATTTATTTGCATAGGTAGTGGGGCCATCCACTGGAGCGTGGATAACCGACCACAGGAGAGGGGTCTGTTTTCTTCAAACTCTTTTTTTTTTTTAATTAAATCCCAAAGAACATGTTTTGGTTTTGGTTTTTTGAGACAGGGCTTCTCTGTGTAGCTTTGGAGCCTGTCTTGGAACCCACTCTGTAGACCAAGCTGGTCTCGAACTCACAGAGATCTGCCTGCTCTGTCTCCTGAATGCTGGGGTTAGAGGCGTGTGCCACCACCTGGCTCAAAGAAATTCTTATTGCTTACCACCTGCAAGTCACAGACTGCACAGACTGTGAGAAACATTCATTTGAGGTGTCAAGATTTCCCCCTCCAAAATCTCACAAGTTCATACCCCTAGATGGAAAAGTCATATGCAGTTAAAGACGGCTACTAAAAGAGAATCAAAATCTTCTCCATAGACAGATTGCTGCTCATCCAATACCAAGTGGTCATCTCTAAAACACACGCACACAAGCAACACATGAATACATGTAATAATCGTAAAGAAAAAGAAAAACTAAAGTATGTCCTCATTTTTTGCTATTTTTATTTCATGTGTTTGGGTGTTTTTGCTTGTGTGTTTGCCTGTTCACCACATGTGTGCCTGGTGCTTTCAGAGGTCAGAAGAGTGCATTGGATTCCCTGGAACTGAAGTTAGAGGTGGTGATTAGCTGCCCTGCCAGTGTTGGGAACTGAAACCAGGTCCTCTGGAAGAGTGCTCAGTGCTTCTAACCACTGAGCAATCTCTCTAGTTTAAATAACTTAACTTTTTTCTTTCATTAAAAAGTCTCTGGGGAGATGAGTCATATCTATCTTGATACAATAAAATAGAATATGAGAAGTAAAAGTGTACATATTATCATATAGTATCCACAAAGACATTACTATTGTTCAGAAAGAATCAGGAAGTTTGGAAAATGTTAGTATCTTATATGAGTTGAGGTTTTGATGCCCAGATTAGGAGAGCAGCTTTCTCAATGGGGCACTAAATCTACAGAAGCCAAGCGGCCAGGAGCTGGGCTGTGGGAAGAGGCCCACAGCTCCTACAACACTCATCGGTGGAAACAGTATGGACAAAGGTATGGAGGGAAGGAACTCAAGGGTCATCCATACATTTTGGCTAGAGCACTGGGTCTATCAGAGCAACAGCAGAAGGACTACGCAGAGAATCCATATGCTTTGCCTAGCAGCCCATGGCGTTGGTAAGTAAGCGCTAAGGAATTTATTTAAGCCATTTAAAGCCTTGGATCCATAATGACATGGCAGAAGTTGGTCTATGGGAGTTTTTTCGTGAAGTCAAAAAGGAGAAGGCTCAGTCAGTAAAAATGTTTGCCATGCAAGAATGAGAATAAGAGTTCAAAGTTCATCACCCATAGTAAGGTGAGACATGGTAGTACAGACCTGTAATCCCAGTACTGGGGTAGACACAGCCTAATCAGCAAACCCTAGGTCCCCACGAGGGACTCTATCTCCGGGGGGAAAATGGACAGTTCCTAAGGATGACACTCAAGGTTGAGTTCTGGCTTTCATATTCATGTGCATACACAAAAACCTGAACACATATGTTCACAGAGAGAGGGGGAGAGGAGGGAGGGAGGGAGAGAGAGAGAGAGAGAGAGAGAGAGAGAGAGAGCACAATGGAGATGACAAACACAGAAAACCAGAAGGTACATTAAATTTAAAGTGAAAGACAAGAAACAACTAGAAAGTAAATGTGACTAATTTCAACTCTGGGCTAAACTTTGATGGTCTAAAAATGCTTCAAAAGATTTTAACATTTTTATGCTTCTTCACTTTGTGTTTCGGATTCTTATTTGTAGTATGTTCTATCCAACACCTCATGTTTGTATTCTTGACCTGCTAAAAAAGAAGTGTTTAAAATAAAGGCAGTACACAAAGAGCTTTACTGGTACTCTCTGAAGCTGGAAATCAGCATGTTATAAAATGAAAAGAACTGGTCTAGGGAAGGGAGAGGGGACTGTCCTACCAGCTCTTCTCTCTGAGTACAAATGCTCATTTAACCTCTGCGAATTTATCTGTTCCCAGCCACGCTGTTCTTTTACCAATTGATGCTGACGAAAATGAAAAGTCATTCCTACTGCAGCACAAATGTTCTGGTCCAGGACTCTGAGACTGCCTGGCTCTGTTATTTAACTCCTTTCTTTAATTAACTAATCTTGATGATACCTCACAGCTTCACGCACTAGAGCAAACTATGAGACAGATAATTACACTCTTTCTTTCCAACCCTGCAGGAACTAAACGAGCTTGTGATACTTGTACTGAAAAGAGCATTGGTTTCTACACCTCAAATATTAAGTAGTCAAAAGATAACTTATTAGTTTTTCTTTCCATTAGTCAATGATTACAAGTAACAATTTTCAACTTCGTGACTATCACCATGATTACCAGAGATCATACATCTTTACTAAAACTGGGATGTATAATATTCCAACGTAATCTTACCTTTTTTTGCAGGGCACATGCTTTAATAACATAAAATGACATAAATTGAAAGCCTTTGAGGAACACTGCCCAAATGATCCATATAGTGTAGCAGGTGGGCCTGCTTATTTATTCCAGCCACCTGGCTAGCTTACACCTGAAATAACCACGCCGAAAATGTATTATTTAAAACACTGCTTGGCCCATTAGCTCTAGCTTCTTATTGGCCAACTCTTACATTTTAATTTAACCCATTTCTACTTACTTAAGAGTGGCTTACTGGCAAAGATTCAGCATGTCTGACTCTAGTGGCTCCATGGTGGCTCCCTGGCTCCACCCTTCTTTCTCCCAGCATTCAGTTCTGACTTCCCTGCTTACCTAAGTTCTGCCCTCTCAACAGGCCAAGGCAGTTTCTTTATTCATTAATGGTATTCACAGCACACAGAGGGGACTCCCACATCACACACGGCATTAATTTTTGACTATCATAAGGAAGCATAAATTTCACTTGACTGTTTCATGGGTGCTTTGCCCCCACTGTTCACAAAAAAAATTTTAGCCTCTTCTTTAAATTAAATTGGAGTGCAGCAGGTTTTTTTTCCATATACTCTCCTAAGTGATAAATGTTTCCTCAAATATTAATGTCTTCAGTTTAGAGGGGCTCACAGAATCATGAAAAAAAAAATATCTGGAGAGATCTGTGAATTCTTCTTAATGTGTAACTCACCTTTCTATGTGTAGTTTTCTACGAAATGGTGTGGAAACTGTGATCTTACCCATAAAATCAAAATAGAACCATAAAGATAAGCTCCTTGAAGGACACCCCAGGGTCAGTGACTCTTTTCTGAATATCAGAGATTTGGTGAGTATGTCCCCATAATTATAACTACAGGTGAGAGTCACTTTGTCAGGTGCTGTGACCACAAGCACAAAACCGAGGCCAAGACTCAAGAGTAAATCACGACTCTGTTTGGACACAAAGCATTTAGCATGTCTACCTCAGATGAACATATATGATGAGCATTAGCTGAGCAACAAGGAAGCAACCATTAAAGATATGTTTAAAGTAACCCAGAAGGCCCAGAAAATCTGGTTTTAAGAGTAACAAGATAAAAATGTTACCTGTAGCAGAGCGATTACCCAAGATGTATAAAAGGCTGCAGGTAGACCAAGCAGTCAGAATTCAGAAACTCTTCTCAACTACACAGCTCTCAAACCAGCACCTGATACCATGGCCTGCTGCGCTACTAGCTTCTGTGGCTTTCCCACATGCTCCACCGGTGGCACCTGTGGCTCTAGCTGCTGCCAGCCCAGCTGTTGTCAGCCCAGCTGCTGCCAGCCCAGCTGCTCCCAGTCCAGCTGCTGCCAGCCCAGCTGTTGTCAGCCCAGCTGCTGCCCACCCAGCTGCTGCCAACCAAGCTGCTGTGGAACTGGCAGTGGCCAGGAAGGTGGCAGTGGAGGCGTGAGCTGCCGCGTCAGATGGTGCCGCCCAGACTGCCGCGTGGAAGGCACCTGCCTGCCCCCCTGCTGTGTGGTGAGCAGCACACCCCCAACCTGCTGCCAGCTGCACCATGCCCAGGCCTCCTGCTGCCGCCCATCCTACTGTGGACAGTCCTGCTGCCGCCCAGCCTGCTGCTGCCACTGCTGCCCCCCCAGCTGCTCTGAGCCCACCTGTTGAAAACCTTCTGACAAGAATCTTGAGAGGACAACGCTTCAAAATGAACCAACAAGAGCCCTAGAAACATTCTGAATTTCAGAATTGATAACTCAGCTATTATCACAGCCACATAATTTCCCAGGAGGTAAATTCATTTGCGGTGGAAGAGCCAATATCTTTGTTGGCTTGAACGCTGGCAAAAGCCCTGCAATGTGAAGAGGGGCATAGAATACGTAACTATAAGTATTACCAGAAATATTTCAGTGGCTTATCGGGACTTGTATTTAATAAAATGTATTTGATCTCTTCAATGGCAAAAAGTGATTGTTGATACTTTCTTTCCTTTGGAATTCATTAATAACACTGGGCATTGGAACTTTTTCTTTATCTATGCTTGTTCTTTTAATAATCCTTTTTCTTTGTTTCTTTCTAAATGACCCATTATTTCTGCAACTGAAGTACATCATTGAAAAAAACACCACAACAGTTATAACGCTCACTTGAACAAAGTGGTCTTGGTGTTGCAAAAGGTCAATTTTACAGAGAGGAAGTTTGTATCATGTAGGAGTCGGAGGCGTTCGCAAACCCTTCCAGTTACTCAAAACTGAGCCTCCATGTGATTCTTTCAGACATCAAAGGGTTGCTAAGGTGTAATGAAAAATGAAAGACCATCAACTCAAGATGGCAAAATAATAGCACTAAATGTTTCTAGTCATAGCTTGCAAGCCATGATCCATGACTCCTTGAGTAAGTCACTTCGCTTGCCTGAGCAACTATTTCTCATCTGAAGACTGAGTTAGATGCCTTTCAGGGAGAGATGTGTAGGTCATCTAACAAACTGGTGACATACTAGCAGTATCCTCAGACAGCTGAAAAGGTTGCATACAATGACCCAATACTATTATATACTTTATTGTTGTTGTGATCATTTGCATTGTCAACCTCACACACTCTAGAATCACCCGGAAAGAGGGAATCTCAAATGAAGATATGCCTTGATCAGACTGTCCTGTGGGTCTGCCTGTAAGGAATACTCTTGATTGCTAGTTGATGTAGCAGGATTCGGCCCACTGTGCACAGTGTCGGCCCTGGGCAGGTGGTCCTGGGCTGTGTAAGAGAGCAATCTGAACCAGGCTGCAATCCCACAAAAAAATGTAAGAAGGCTCCCTTTTCCCTTCATCTTCACCATCACTGGTCAGTTATTTTCTTGATCTTAGCCATTCTGAGTGGGGAGAAAAGAAATATCAAAGTAGCTTTAATTTGCATTTCTCTGATTGCTACAGATGTCATTGCTTTTAAAGATATTTCTTAGCCAATTTAAACTCACTTTTGAGAACTGTCTGTTCATATCTATAGTCCATTTTTTAAATTAGGTTATTTGTTTTCTTGGTTCTTTGCTTTTTTAGTTCACTGTGTATTCTGGATGTTAATTCTAGATAGGAATACATTCTCAATATTCTACCCCTAAAGGAAGAGCTCTAGGCAAGCAATGACTCCTGAAAGAGAGAATCAATTTTCTTCCGGGGCAGCTCCCTGATAAGTCATTTCGTCCCAAGCAGTCAGCCCTAAACACAAGCACGTATCAGCAGCACTAGAGACTCAACTCAATAAGAGATACATTATCTTTTAAAAGAAGAGGTTATGAATTTGAGAGGGAGTAGGGGTAGGAGAGGAGTTGGAGGGCAGAGGAGGATGGGTCAAAATGATATTAATACAATATTCCAATATTCATATATGAAAATTTCAAAAACTAAAAAGAATTAAATAAAAAAAAGACAACCCAGAACCAAAATAAAATAAAACTAACTAAGCCTAAGCTAATAAGCAAGCCAGTAAGCAACTTAGGTTGTTCCTGTGTGGCTTCTGCCTCAGTTTCTGCCCTGACTCCCCTCAGCGATAGACTGTGACTCGGAAGTACAAACAGAAATGAATGCTTCCCTTCCTTCAGTTGCTTTTGGTCAGAGTAGTGTGGGATATACATGTATATGTGTTGCTTTTATTGGTTAATGAATAAAGAAACTGTTTTGGCCTGTGATAGGGTAGAATAGAGCTAGGCTGGGAAAACTAAACTAAATGCTGGGAGAAAGAAGGCAGAGTCATGAGACGCCATATAGCCGCCAGAGGGGAAAGACACGAGTTGCCATTTGGAACCTTGCTGGTAGACCAAGAGCCTCAGGGTAAAATATAAAATTAAGGAAATGGGTTAATTCTAGATGTAAGAGCTAGCTAGCAATACGCTTAAGTGATTGACCAAGCAGTGATTTAAATAGTATAGTTTCTGAGTGACTATTTTGGTTCTCGGTGGCGGGGAAATGAACAAACAACCTCCTCACAACAAATGGTGCCCAACATGCCTCCTACTACAGACAGAGTAGTCTTATCATGGCAGCAGCAAATCAAACCAGGACAGCCATCATTGTGAAGATTTTATAAATTGTCTTAGAACATTAATGAGGCCATGGTATGCTGCAGTAAGACTGTCTCTATCCATTGTAACGGCGTAAATGAATGCAGACAGAAATTGTCATAAATATATACAGCTTTAATTGGGAAATAGACTTACAGAACCAGAGGTTCCCGTGGAGAACAGGAAAGCAGAAGGGGCTGCCGGGAGCGTGCCTGCAATCTTTATAAGTAAAAAATATCCTCGGGGGACCCCGCCCTACAAGTAAGGTGATTGGCTGGGTCTCTCCTACAATCCATCATGCCCAAACTGAGAAAGCTGGGATGTTTGTTGTTATTATCTTCCTTGGTAATGTCTTGTAACTAGGGATCTTCCGCATGTACCTTGCAAAATGATGAAGGAGAATATCAATCTACCAGCCTGTTGTTTTTTACCCATACCATCCCCTCAAGTGCTATGAAGCAGAATACAGAGCGTAGTGTTGGCCACGTCTTCTCGCCATTCTTCTTCTGATCTCCAAAGGGTGATCTGCAGCAAAGCAAGTGTGAGACACAATGTACAATGGAGCTTGCATTCCATGGGATGCAATCTTCCGCCATGGAAGCCATGTGCGGAACTACAGGTCACGATTAGCAGTGTTGAGCAAGTGATTGTTGAAAGGTTATAGGGTATTCTGCTGAGGTGATTAAAAAGATTTGACATCAGAGGTCTGAAATGTATCATGAGGTTGAGAAGATGGCACAGTGGGTAAGAATGTTTGCTGTGAAAGGAAGAGGACTTGAGTGCAAATCCCCAGCGCCCACATGAAAAGCCAGGCTTGGCCACGCATGCTGGTAACCCCAGTGGGGAGTTGAGACAGACAGATCCCAGGAGCACTTTGGTAATCCAACCTAATCAACATAGAGAGCTTTGGTGTCACTGAGAGATCTTATCTCAGACAATAAAGTTGAGGAACTATCAGGATGGTTTGGTGTCACAAAATCTTAGCTACCCATTATCCCCAGAACCCACATTAAGAAGGAAGAAAAGAACAGTCTCCACAAAACTGTTCTCCTACTGCTGCATGCACCGCATGGCATGTGCATACACTCACAAACACACATCACCACCACCACCAACAATAATGATGAGAGCAATAGAGGAAGATTCCTCGTATCCTCCTCTGGCCTTCTCCATATACACATACCTAATAGTGTGCATTCACACACTCCTGTGTGCGTGGACCACACAACACACACACACACACACATATACAAAATGCACTGAATGTCACTTTAGTATACACTTTAAGACAGTTCGTTCATGGTATATGAGTTTTACCTCAATTTATAGAAAGTAAAGGAGTGAGGCTTCCTCTAATACCACTTCATCACAATTAGAAAACACCACCTTGGAGCCAACATATTCCCAGGGAACACAGTTTATCAGACCCATAGTGCATTCCTATGAAGAATGGCAAGATCCTTCTTCTGTATGAACACAGTTCCACCTCCAGGCATAACCAATATATTTGTGCTCAATAAGCTTACAACTTTGTAAACATCCCAAATCCTAATATATAGCCTGGATTAAAAAGGTTAAGAGTTGAGGCATCTTTTTCTTAGAAGGACTCGAACTCAGAAGCATCAAAAGGATGTAGATTGGTATTTAGAAAACTCAAGAAAGACCTTATTACTTGATTAAGGCACGAAAGTCGGGGATGAGAGGAAGTCCTTGAGGTTTACTTGTTGCCTGGTTGAGGCACAGAAGCGTGGATGCCCTAGGCAGGGATGGGGCATTCATTTGATTGGGGCATTGACTTCCCATACTTTATCATTCAGAAATAAGAGTGAATTAGATCAGACTGGCTTAGAACATCAGTGTAATGATGACAAAGAAAGTTGGAGAACACCTGGAACCAGGATCATGTCGTCTTAGGCAGAAACCATTCACACATCAGTATTATTCTTTGTTTATTTAAATAACATTTCTGTCATCTGTTTTGTATACCAACTGCAGTTTCCCCTCCCTCCTCTCCTCTTGCTCCCTGCTTCCCACTTCCCCACTCCCCCATTCTCTCCTCCCCGTTTTCATTCTGAAAGGCTCAGGCTCTAAAACAGAGGGTCAAATATTCAAATATTCACAAATAACAGTCTAAAAGTCCCTTGGTCTCGTCATACAGGGGTGATCTGGGCCCTCCAAAATGAAGAAGTGAAAACTTAAGAGAATAAGCAGAATAATTTTTTATAACATCGATGACCAGACACCTACATTTCCACTGAGACACAGACAGAATCTCGTGGTATTCCAAAAGGATAGAAAATTCTACAAAGAGAAACAGCATGAATAGTTTTATCTGTTTTGATCTCCATGAAAGAAAGAAAGAAACTCAAGTGGTAGAGGCAAATGTCTGGTTATGTCCCATTCTTGATTCATTTGAGGTTGGTAAGGGAGTGTTTGGATTCATCTTTACTTTATGGCGGAGAAGCAGAATTTTCAAACTCCAAGTGACATTTTTCACTGCTTCATTTGATTTACTGTGTGTGCATCCACATGTACAGAGAGGTCCCGGAGAAGGAGCTGGCTCCTCCTCCCACTACATGAGTCCCAGGGATCAAACTCAGGTCATCAGGCTTGC